GGGGCTATCCAAACTCATTTTCATTTCTTGGAAGGAGGAATTACAACTTTTCCGACAAACATATTTTATAATACATTCCCATGGGATGATTTGAAGTACCATACTGCAACAAAAGGTGGAAGAGGGGGTAAGGGTGCGCCTTTTCAATGTTTGGGGAAAAAAGTGGATGGGGGGCCTGATGCGACGTGCCTGTATTATTTTACTTGTTGTAGATATGCTTTATTCATTTTAAATATATTTTGTATAATATCTGTTAAAAAATTCTAGCCACTGAGAAATATTCGTAAGAATTATTTAAAGTCATATATGGCGTTTTTTTAAAAAAATATTTTTTGTAAGTTCAGACTACCTAAATTAAAAAGATCTTTCTATTTGTTTTATTACTTTATATAAAAACAGGACTTTCATGTAAATTACACAATTTAAATCAATCACGTTTCAAAGATATTAGACATTTAAAAGAATAACCGATTTTTTTTTTACCGATATCGCATTTAACAGACACAGTTAATTTTTTAAAAAATCAATTTAACTATGGAAACATGAGGTTATTCAAGTTCGAAATCGGTGAAAATTTTAATGTCAACGTAAATAACAAATATCATGTTAAACTACTCTCAATCTCGTATTTTATTTTTTAGCTCAGATACGCCATATATAGCTTTGATAACTATTCCGAAAGAAGATGGATAAAAACTAAGCGTTCCTTTTGAGTATTAAGTATTTGCACACTGAAAAGAATCACAATCTACCAACATCGATTTTATAGGCTGTTCCATGAGACGCACATTTTATAATTTTGGTTTTATTTCAAGAATACGAGGAGTGATTTTTTTTTTACTTTTTTTCAGTGACAAAAACGCAAGTTAAAAATGCATAAAGAAAATGATAACAGTTGCTTTGTTTATTAATTCTTAAAATCTGAGCCAAGTAAAGAAAATTGTATCTTTTCCTAAAACTTTTCTACAGGGGTAAATTTAAATACAAAAGAATAGTTCATTAAAGTAAAGTTTTTATATATGCATTTAATGTGAGTTGTTATTTAAATGTTTTCACTGTTTTCTTTCGTCAGTAAATCTTGGATCCACGCCTTGACTTATACATTCAATATGCCACGTTTTGTGTATATTTTGATCCCCGCGTGCTGACCATCGTTTTACGCAATAGCCTAGATACAATGTCTATGTGTATTTTGAAGACCCACCACCACCCAAGTGATCCTACCTCTATTACTCTTAAAGAACCCTGTGTAGTTTTACTTTAAGATGGACCATTTTGTTTAATAATAATAAGACAGACTTTCGTCAATGTTGTTTACATCTCTATATTTAGAAATCGTGTCATCATCAGGTCCTTTGACAGACCACCAGCTTATCAATGGCAGCTTACACTAAGACTTCACTTCCGGATTCAAACTTAATGTGTCATCTCCCGAGGGAGATGATAATGATAGATAATATAGAGAAACACGTAGAACTAGCGGTGGAGGACGTACAGAGTGGGAATCAATAGTTAGAGGAGGCATAGAAACATCAGTGTGCTGCGAGGAAGAAAAAAATCATCTGCTTCTCCATCTTAATTACTGTCGTTGTAATAGTCGTTATAATCATTGTTGTGACGATGACGAATAATGATTCAGAGTGAATAAGTTAGAGAGTGCTACATGTAGAGCAACTGGAATTCATAATGAGCACTGAACTACACATACATGTACATTTGTCATAAAGAAAGAATCATTTAACATCCACTATACAGCCATTAAAAAAAAATGGATTTTCAGACGTTGAAATGCTACAATAAAATTTTTATGAAAGGCAACAATAAATAAATTTTTATTTCCATAATATTCACTATAAGTAAAAACCCTGAGGGCTAAAGACCTGTGTAAAGAATGTTTATAGCACAAGATGACAAGATATAGGAATGTGGGATTTTACCCATTTATATTTATATGAAGACAAATACTGTGTGTAGGTGTGTATGTCCTTGTATTAGCCAATACTATATCACACAGTATAATTGTCATTTATACAGTACAACACAGTCATGCAATTATACAGTACTACACATTTATACAATTATATACAATACTATTGATTTTATCATCAATACTTTCTACCGTGTGTTGATCTTTCAGTATAACTTAGTGTGTTATCTTTCAGTATAACTTATTGTCTCTACATACACCAGGATTATCTCAACAGGAAACAATTAAGATTATGACGTGGGTACAATGAGTTAATTCTGATAGAGTGAGAAGGTTGTACTAGATCCACTCCTGTATTTAACTGTCAATCAACATATCTTTTATAGTAAAGTGCCGGGTATATTTTACACAAGTTTCTGTCCTTGATTCTTGGTTCTGATAAAAATACTCAGTATGTGTTGTTAAATAGATTTAATTTATTGTGAAACATGTAATCTGAATACTTCATGGTAATTTAATATATGAATTTCTAATGGCTATATCTGTAAAAATATATGGTCTGGATACGTTTATTTTGGCAACAATTATTTATTCCTTGTAGCCTTGATTTTTAATCAGAAAGAGGTCATTTTTCATATTATCCAAGAAACACTGATGCAAAAAATAGATGCTTGGAATCCATACTATCTTTCAAATAAGTTTAATTCAAGCTTGGATATACCAGAACATTAATACTTTAGATATTGAAAACCATAATCAAACGGCATGGATAAATACAAAATTAAGTTTTAGATTGATTGAGTAAAATAACTTGAAGATTATAGTCAGTTAAAGAGCTATCGCAGCTCATATTTATCTGTTATACTGTATATACCGCGAGGTTGCCGACTATAAGTAAAATTTACTTAAATTGAAGGTTCAGGTAATTGTCTTTGTGTATAAAAATACCCACTAAAAATAATGTTCCAATTGTTGTAGAGTTCTCCAAATCAGGAGGGCAAGGGGACCTTTTCCTAAGAGTTAATTGTGCTAGAGGCAACTTGTGTTGCATTTTGGAGCATGCCTAAGCTGACTTTTCAGTTTAAGCCCCGCTTAATAATGCCACTTATCAGCAAATACCATCTTTCTTAAGGTCAAATGTTGTCTGATGTTTTTCATACAAATTGTTAGAGCATCATTTATTCACTGAATTGGCTTCAGATTTTTTCCTTTGTCTGATCATGACAAGGGGCACATGGCGAGTGTGACCGATCGACATGGGATGCTTATTCCTTTATGGCACCTGATCCCACCTTATATCTTTAGAGGTCTGTTTGCTCTGCTCGCAATTTTTATTGTTTCAATGCACGTTTGAGCTTGGTTACTGTTCAATATCTTCATATCTCACCCTAAGGTTCATGTCTGCAATACAAGATATATATTTTATGCATGGACCTTAGGGTCTATGGAAAAAAAATCCACGTTAACCAGTATGACTGAGAGTACTTTAAGCTGGTGATAAAATTTAGAGTTATCAATAATTGTTCAAAGATTTAATTTGAAATAATGTAAGTATATAGTAAATGTAAGTAATCTGGTAAATTGTGTTACTGATCTGTAACCTACCAGGTTGATATCAGAGTCTCTAAGATTTAAGAAGAGTCTTTTTGTGTCGCCTGCAGAGCAGAGCGGCACTTAGGTATCACTTTATCCGGCGTCTGTCTATCTGTCTCTCTGTCCGTCTGTCCGTTCGTCTGTCACACCTTCTATCTCAAGAACTATAAGAGATATGGATTTAATATCATGCACATATATTGCTTGGCACTATGGCTTTTGTGCATTGCCATGGTTACTGACCTTGTGAGCCTTTACCCTGACCTTTGACCTACTTTACAAAATTGTTAATAGTGTCAATATGCAGCATATTGTTAACATGTTATTTAGTATGTGCAATGATTATCATAAAACATTATAAAAAATACCAGCGTTACAATCCATTTGACTTTGACCTTTGACCTACTTTGCAAAAAATACTGTGGACAGTTTAATTTTACTTATGTCTTTTGAATTCTGAGAGACGGGGTGTTGATAATTAGCATTTATACGTTTTTGAGCTCATGATTCTGTACTTTGAAACTGTATGATATTTAGTTACCACACAAACTGATATTTTTTAAATACTATAAAAATACACGGTCACAATGAGTGAACAAATTTTTACATAGAAATATATAGAAAAATCTTTAAAAATCTTCTTCTCAAGAACAGTTAAGCAGTGATTAGACTTATTTATATGGAAGCATCCTCGATAGTTTAGATTCAAGATTGTTCAAATCATGACCCCAGTGTAGGGAGGGGCCATAATTGGTGATCAAAGTTTAAAATGAGAATAAATAGGAGAAATCATTAAATATCTTCTTCCAAAGAATTGCAAATCCATGATCAGCCATATTAATTCAGAAGCATCCTCAGGTAAGGTATATTCAAATTTGTTCAAATAATGTCCCCTGGGGCTAGGGTGGGGCCACAATAGAAGATCAAACATAGAGAAAAAGCTCCTTCAGTTAAGCCATGATTAGTCAAAGAAATATGAAAGCATCCTCAGTTAATGTAAATTTAAATGTGAATAAATCATACCCCCCTTTCTCTGAGGGAGGGGGTATTTGTGATCACTTATATATTTAATCTTTTCAATACTAAACTGATTTCTGTTTTTTTTTATTTAGGCAATGTGCTCAGATGAGCAATGTGGCCCATGGGCCTCTTGTTACTATATGTTATGTGTTATCTCCTTTCTTTATACCTCCTTTCCGTTATTAAATGGTCACAGTTAACATCAAAGGGTTGCCGATATTTACCAGCTGTATTTAGCTGTATTTCCATCATAGCATACGATGGTGAGTACTAACTAACATTGTTATAAAAATTGAATGGATCTTGCGTTTAACACTGGTCAGTGGTAGGTTTTAGATGTTATGAAAATTGTTCATACAGAAACAAATTGTAATTTTATAAGATGGATTTTTAATCTTTGTTTTGAATTCTAGCACTTATGGTTTTAAATCAATGTTTTTATCTAATATGTTTTACATTTAGACTTATCCTGCATAAAATCTTACTTCCACCTCCCTGTGGTAAGCAAGGGGCAACAGGAAAAGCAAAACTATAAAAAGCAGTGTAGGGCCGCGGAAATGCAGCATTTATTTTCCTGTGAATTATGTGAATCAGACAAACAGAACCATAAGCATTCAGGTTATTTCGGCTTATCTTATAATTCTTAAATATATTCTGCTAAGTAGAATAAATGTATAAAAATGCAGTAGTACTAAGGAGATAATTAACCAAATGCTATTGAATTGACAGTATCTGACATTTTTAAGTTTCACTGTAGGCATGTCATCACAGCTTCAAATACCACCACTGGTAATACCAGTACCTATATCCTCAGAAGATACATCATGCAAGCAGATTTGTCAATGGTACATGTAAGTAAATACATGTATGATTTTTTGACAATTTAAATTTGACATTAAGCTAAGCATATTTAATTTCATTATTCCCACCTAAGCCAGAAGCTTAATTTAGTAGGCCTTTTCAGTTAAAACTTGTCTGTCTTGTAAACTTTTGCATTTTCCTATTACATATTCTCTAGAATCACACCTAAATGCCAATTTTAACCATTGCAAACTTGGCCAGTTAACACAACTCGTGTTTTGTTTATGTTTCAGATTAAGGAAATTCAAGTTTTAACAGAAATGTACAGACTAACCATTTTCCAATGGGAGAGCATTTAGGGATAATGAAAACAGTGACGTGGGTGTAGTAAAACATTGAATTATCTCAAAAGTAGAGATCATTGGGCCATAATATTATATTGGTAAAGGCTAAACCTTTTTTGCCCTTACAATGTAGTTATATACTAGCTCCTACAAAGAAGTTGTAAGGGTGTCCTGGAATCATCATGTCTGTTGACATGTTTTGTCTGGAAATTATCTTATAAACCACTTTATAATAATGCCCCGGTAATCGAAGAGTCGTGGGTATATAGTTTTTGCCCCATCCGTCCATATTTCACATGTGTATTCCTTGTGACAAGACCTTCCTTTGGGTACCAACATATTTGACCTTGACCTTGGAGTTTGACCAACTTTTGTAAAAATTTACCCAACTTTAACCTTGGCCATAACTTTTGAACAGTTGGTGCTAGGATTTTCAGATTTCACATGTGTCTTTATCGTGACTAGACCTTTCCTCGGGTGTAAATATTTTTGAATTTTTGACCTGGCCTTAGGGTTTGACCCACTTTTAAAAAACTTTAACCTTGGCCATAACTTTTGAACAGTTAGGACTAGGGCTTTCAAATTCACAGGTATATTCCTTGTGACAAGACCTTCCTTTGGATATCAACAATTTTGACCTTGACCTTGGAGTTTGACCTACTTTTGAAAAACTTTAACCTTGGTCATAACTTTTGAACGGTTAGTGCTAGGACTTTTATATTCTGCATGTTTATTTCTTATGACAAGGTCTTCCCTCTGAATACCATTAATTTTGACCCTTTGACTTTGACCTTGGACTTCGACCCACTTTTGGAAAACATTAACCTTGACCATACCTTTTGAATGGTTGGTGCTTGGGAATTTTTTATCTCTCGACCTTGAAGTTTGACTTGCATTTGAGAAACTTTAACCTTTGCCATAAGCTGCCATACGGGGGCATCAGTGTTTCACAAACACATTTTGTTTTTCCCTACACTTTGTAATTATATACCATTGAACTAACTGGTAACAGGAATTTACAGACTGATTTGTCAAACTTTTAAAAAGAGGAATAAGAGAATTAAACTCTTATTTGAACATGACTTTGTAACCAAAAAAACAATCTGAGGCTCATAACTGATTGAAAGGTAGCTTGTGTCCAGAGATGAGCCTTGACCCAGTACCAAGGGCATTTTAGGTATGTTCAAGGTCAAAAGGGTACAAATGTATTAAATTATTTTTCAATCACAATTCTATAATGGAAACACAGTAGACATACCTGAGACAAAATTTGCCTGTGACTCAAAGGTATATCCCAAGTCTAACACAGGATAATTTGAACTAGATATGTTTTTAAAATATAAAATTATCATAACTTTTATGAGGATATATTCTAAATACAAAGGTTGCTTAATTATGGCTAGAGGCAGTGAAACAACCTTGCATGTTGGTCATTTAAGCAATGTAAAGGTTACAGTAATTGAAGTTTAAATTCTTGGCCATAACATAATTATACATGTATAATTGTATATTGAAAAAAGTAAGTGCCAAAGATCATACCACCCAAATGGTTGATTATGATCAAAAGATATGCCATTTCCAGAACAGAGGTCATAAGACAAGGTCAAAGTCATAGAGGTGATAGAGGTATCTCAGAAAATACAACTTTTTATTGGAGTAGTATCTGGAGAACATACTTGACATACAGGTGATTATGACCAAGGGGTATTAATCCTACTTAAGGGCCTAGGGTAGTCATAGTTAATTTAAAAAACAAGATGTGTTTGTGAAACACTGATGCCCCCGTATGGCAGCTTATGGCGAAGGTTAAGGTTTCTCAAATGCAAGTCAAAATCCAGGCCAAAAGGTAAAAAAATGTTAAATTTGGAAGCCCTAGCACCAACCATTCAAAAGTTATGGCCAAGGTTAAAGTTTTTCGAAAGTAGGTCAAACTCCTATGTCAAGGTCAAAGGGTCAAAGTGGTTGGTATCCAAAGAGAGGTCTTGTCACAAGGATTACATATATAAAGAAACGAAAGCCCTAGCACCAACCATTCAAAAATTACGGCCAAGGTTAAAGTTTTTCAAAAGTAGGTCAAACTCCTATGTCAATGTCAAAGGGTCAAAGTGGTTGATATTCAAAGGAAGGTGATGTCACAAAGATTACATATGTGAAGTATGAAAGCCCTAGCATCAAACATTCAAAAGTTATGGCCAAGGTTAAAGTTTTTCAAAAGTAGGTCAAACTCCTAGGTCAAGGTCAAAAGGTCAAAGTTGTTGGTATCCAAAGGAAGGCCTTGTAACAAAGAATACACATGTGAAGTTTGAAACCCCAAGCACCAACTGTTCAAAGGTTATGGCCAAGGTTAAAGTTTTTCAAAAGTAGGTCAAACTCCAAGGTCAAGGTCAAAAGGTCAAAGTTGTTGGTATCCAAAGGAAGGCCTTGTAACATAGAATACACATGTGAAGTTTGAAACCCCAAGCACCAACTGTTCAGAAGTTATGGCCAAGGTTAAAGTCTCAAAAAAGTTTGCAAAAGTGGGTCAAACTCCAAGGTCAAAAGGTCAAATATGATGGTACCCAAAGAAAGGTCTTGTCACAAGGAATACACATGTGAAATATGAAAGTCCTAGCTCCAACCAATCAAAAGTTATGGGCAAGGTTAAAGTTGACAGACAGACAGACAGACAAACAGACAAACAGATAAACAGACAAACAGACAGACAGGACAAAAACAATATACCCCCGGGATCTTTCGATCCGGGGGCATAAAAAATATTGTTCATTATGAATTTCAATAACCTGAGATTGTTTACTTTTGTATTTTCAGGTATAACGACAACACCCTCTCAACAGAATCCTCAAGATAAAGAAATCTTATGTGATGAGAACTTCAATAAAGAAGATAGAAAGAGATCAATGGTTTTAGTTTTCAATGTAGAAATTAATGTCACGAAAGTCTTTATTTAGTCAGGGAGTCCAGAAAACAAGTTTTGATTCTTTCAAATTCAAAGTTACTTTTTGTATAATCATGCATTACTTGTATCTGGATTAACTGACTAAGAAAGAAAAAAAGAAGATATTAAATTCATGGTAAATGTTCAAGAAAAATTCATTTGCAAGAAGCAAAAATCCTGTTTCCAAGGAAGAAGGATAGAATTAATGGATTGAGGTTTGGGGCACTCATAGATAAAAGCTTGATATTGATTTCTGGGGTACAAAAAATATGCTTGTCCTCGCATGATATTCATATGAAACCTGGGTTCTCTTTTCACATGAATTTCGTACGAATTTCTTTTCGCATGATATTCGTGCGAATTTCATGTGAACATCTCATGATATTTTCGTGTGAATATCATGCGTGGTCCTTTTCGTCTCCTTCTCATGCGAAGAATTCACATGATATTCGTGCAAATTTCATATGAAATTCACGTGAGCCACTTTTCCCTGTGTATTACTTCCTGATTAGTGAAACATTCATTTAAATGACTTTCAATTGCTAAAATTTCCTATGTATAAAAAGTTCATGAACTGAAGATCGAATACAATCTTGTGATAACCATCTGACCATGCTCTGGAGGAGTACACAAGAGTCTGAAATGGATTATTTCTGTGAACAGAACCATGTCATGCTTTGAGCAATACCATAAAATTCTAATAAATCTTTGCTTTTATTTCAGGTTGCTCCAGATGTTAAAGTAATGGGACAGATTCAGACATAGATAATGGGGAGACAACTCTCTGCTGCTCTTGTCAATATGTGTTTCTGACTTCTATGTGGTGTGTAGACTTACAAACATAGTGTCATGATGAGAGAGATAGATGTAAACACTGGTGTAGAGGTCAAAACACTCACCTCTTTGTGATCTGAGCCTCAAGTTATAATTGTGAGACAATCATCTGTATGTTCCCTTATGTATTGTGGGGATAATCCTTGCTCATCAACTGATGTTCTGCACAAGAGGACTACATTCTGTTTTGTATACATGATTTTATGCATAATCTCCTAAAATAATGCATAATTAATAATAATTTTGTGACTTTCCTTTCCTTTTCACCAATAAATATATAAATGAACAACCTCAAGAACATTGTTACATTTGTCATTTACTGGAGGATATATTTGACCTAAGAAACATAATCTGTCCCGATTTAATAAAAAAAAATTAAAGGACAATTTTGAAATTTTCTGATAATTTGAATACCAACGCTATTTTAAAGTAATTTCTTCCATAAATTGTATAGCTTGGCAAATTATTTTAGAATTAGACAGATTGCTATAGAATTTTTATTGAAGTAAATACATGTACTTTTCATATAGATTTTTGGCTCGCTGACATATTACCTTTTTTCTCCAAATAATAATAAACATTTTAATACACGAGATAAGGGATATTGAAATTTTCAAAAAATAATGACACTTGGCTCCCCCCCCCCCCCACACACACACACATTTATTCATATTTGATCCTTTTATTCGACCTTGCCCTTCAAAGTACTCACCCTTGGCCTGGATAAACTTTTTTAGACGATCAATCCACTTGTGGAAGCATTTTTCATACTACTCAATAGGGACACCCATCATATACTGATAAATTGCAGACCCAAGGGCTTTTCGCGATTGAGGGGCAATATGAAAATCATCTATCCTTCTGTGTTCAAAAATTTAGAAGTGAAAAAAGAATTAGACTACACGATCAGTATGTACTGGTCCCAGATGATAAAGCAGGTAACAATATTGTCTTTGTTTGTAAGGCTCATTATTTTAATTGCATTTCAGAAGAACTGGGATTTAATTCTACAAGTGGCAATCCAACTTATACCCATAACTCCTTTTCTAAGGAGGAAATTCTTTAAAATCATATGTCAGTTTTCAATATTTTTAATATTCCTAACAACCAAAATGAATTTGAATTACCATATTGGATTCCGAAACGTCATAAAAATCCTTAAAAACAAAGATACATAGCGGGTTCCAGTAAATGTTCTACCATGCAAGCCTCTTTCTTTACTTCTCACTAAAATATTAACAGCAGTGAAGGAGAAACTTCAGGATTACTGTGCAACAATATATTCGAGAAGTGGTGTAAATCATA